AAATAAAAAAATAAACTTAAATTAGTAACTTTAATTATTAAATAACTTTAATTCCATAAAAAATAAAAAATAAAAAACAAATATTTGTAGGATGTTAATATCCTTAACGTCATCTTTTTAACAATCGTAATTTAATATATTATTAATATTATTATTATATTTTTTTTAATCTAATATAACAATACAAAAGATGGTATGAATATTGAAAGCGTATAGGGCAAATTTTGAAAGTTTTGTAGAAGTAGAAGGAAAAGAAATGAAAATTTAAATTAAAACTAATATTCACTCATAATGATTGATACACTGATTGACGTTACTCCACTTTCGTGTATTTAGAACTTTTATCGTGCATTTAGAATTACCCTTTGTTTATATCTTTATAATTAAAATAGGACCCACCCGATCCATCATTTGCATGATCCATGACCTAGATGAATCAACCTACTTCTCCCGGACTTTCGTCCACTCGAAGATGTCGATTGATAACATCTCATGTCCTCCGTTGGCGGAGTATTAGGATTTTTTTTTCTAAATAGCCCTTATAGTTTCATTTTATATATTTTATACCTAAAAATATAAAATTTTGACATTGGCCTCCTGCTTACCAATTTTTATACATATTATATACTATGTTTTAAACCTGTGTATTATATGGGTTGATTAAAAAAATATTAAATATTAAAGTGTAATATCCAATATTTTTTAAAATAAAATTTTGAAATAATAAAAGAAAGAAACATATTCATTTCAATTTATTAGTCATATTTATCAATAATTACTTACATATATAAGTATATAAGTATTATGTGGCATTTTAACTTTAAAATATAAAAAAATCCATGAAATGACATTTGGATATTATTTATTCTAAAAATACTACAAAATAACAAGTGTTAAAACTCATAAAAGATTAACAAGTGACAAAAAAAACTTTCATTTATTAGAGAGGATTTGGCCCCCGAATCAAATGTTGAAGCTCCGCCCCTTGTCCTCATGTCGTGTTCAGATTTAAAACTCAACACGAAATTGCTATTTATTAAAAAAATTAAAATTTATTATACGTTTACCTTTGTCTTGTTGTGCTTTATTTGAATTGTTTTGGTGTTAATTAATGAAAATAAACACAATATTGTATCCTGTATCGTATTGTGTTTTTTTACATATAAACTTATCGTGTTAAACAAAAATCATGAATAACTTATCGTGTCAGTGTCAAACAAAAATCATGTTAGCCGGATTTGACAACCCCTATGTACATGAGGGATCAGGTATGTGTTTATCCCGTGGCTGATTCTTCAACTGATACCTAATGGGGTCGAAACTGTGATACTACATAAACTTTTCTAAAGCCTTCCGCTATGCCATCAAGATGGTTAGGTCTAACAAGGTTCATTCAACTATAAAAATCAAGTGCTTTTAATCCTAAAACAAGATGCAATTTTCTTAGAAAAAAGTTCCAAAATTACAAATTTCTTTTAAACAGATGCGAAGCTAGCAAGTTTTGCCTGTAGATTTTCGGCGACGTTTACGGTTTTTCATATGTTTTTTCCTTTTCGTCACAACTTTCTTATCGGAGGCTCCTAATTTACATAATCTAAGTGAGCTCTCCATTACGCAGTTCTTGGTCTTTCCGGTGTGGCAGGTTCTCAGGCCTGCCGCCTTGGCCTTGTGTTTCTTTCCGGCCAGATGTTCCTGAAATCCCCGCTCACTCGTCGCGGTGACCTCACAAAGAGCACAGTTCAACTCGCTTCCTATCTTTCTCGAACTGTAACAAAGCTCAGTTGAACCTCCGGCAGCTGATGGCGGTTTCCGTTTGGCTCCTGAAAGGGGAGGACCAAAGTGTTTTCCCTGCAATAAACAAACTAATGATGTTTACCTAAAATCATGAGTCGATAGATAAACCCTGGCTAGTATATATTTCAAGTCAAACAGCTTAGGATATTGTTTTTCCTTTTGAGCATGTATACACAATATCGATTACGTAAACATGATTGTAGTTCCATTATTTTGTTACTTGTTAGATATATAATGAATATTTGGTCGCTGACGACAGGACTTTTGACTATTAATACTCACCAAATCAATAGTTGGTTTTTCGCTAACTTTTGGTGGAGAGGTGGTGATATCTGTGACCTCAGGCGACTGTGGAGCCCGCTGGGAGGAAACCACCTCCAAAGCCCGAGATTCACCATGCAGGGCAGCGGGATGAACCCAGTTGTGGTGGCTATGCGGCGGCTCTAGCATGAGCGACGACGAATATCCCAGGGAGCTCTGCATTGCCATCATCTGCCGTTCCATCATGAGTTCCCTCCTAACTTCAGCTGTCAAAACTCGCCTCCGCTCCGCTTCCTCCGCCAATATCTCCTCTCTGATTATCTTCTTCTCGATATCACGGAAACTCTCCGACCTTCCGCCACCGCCGCCAAAACTTCTTCCGGTCAATAATCCCTCTGGAAAACCGACATAAATAATGATAACGCAAAAGTAAAACAACACCTTCGATACTCATAAACAAAATCACCAAATCGAATAATCCCGTTCGCGTACCTTCCGGAGACCGATAGGAGAAGTTAGGCGTACGATAGAGTTGATCGAATCCTCCGAATCTGAACTCCATTGTTACAGAGATGTGCAATAGATGGGGAAAACTAGGGTTTTGAGTGAAACCGATATTTCTTGGGGAAGATTTGAGCAGCAAAGGAGACTTCCGCCAGGGGCGAGTACTGTTTTTACTTTTTGAAAAAACGAAGAGTCCAAAGTGATGTCAGTGGACGGCGTGTCAAATACGATTCCAAACAGAAGATTTTTGAAAAGATTTCAGCTTATATTCGGTGGACAGATCGGACAGTTGACCAATGTATATTATTATGTAAAAACAATACATCGATTTTACTTTCTTTTATAATCCTACTATCATTTGTTCCAATTATAACATCGCACTATTATTGGTTGAAAACACAAGCATGTTGCTATTATTTGAAAAAATACAATTAAAGTGCTACTATTGGTTTAAAAATAAGTATGTTACTTCAATAAGGTAAGGTACACTGGTTATGAACATGTGAAGAGGGGTCTTCCATTAAGGTCCAGCGTTCACGAAGTATGTGGTGGCATGAGGGGCGGACTGTTATGGTGAATTAAATTTTGTCATTGATTTTGTTGATTTTTGCAAGATTGGTATCAAAAAGTGACTATTTTGCCTTTAAACCAAAATCTAACTATTCATCATTTTTTTTTTCTAAATCAACTATTTCGCCCTAAAAGAAAATCGAAAATATATAGTGTGGGGTATATTTTTAATTTCCTTTTAGGTTAGATTTAAAAAAAAATTAAGCATAAGTTGTGGCAAGTCCTCTTTGACCGAATCTAGGCTTACATTAGTTTACATCAAAAGTTAAAAACTGAAGACTTCACTTTTAAATTGTAAATTTAACATGAGAACTGTATAATAAGAGTTATTTTTCCAGAACTATTAACCGTAAATCTAAAATATGCATGGCTCTCTATGTTATATGTTGCTATTAATGTGAGGGGTAATTCCCTGGAATAAGTAATACTTTTTTTTTTTGCATTATAGCACCGAAATTTCAAAATGAAATGGTTAAATACAAAAAAAAAATGAAACGGTAAAACAGTAAAATTTTCGAAAATTTTGTTTTTTCATGTAATTTGAGTTTTAATATATACATATATTATCTCGGAGAAAATTTTCAATTAATTGACATCAAATCAAACATAATTATCTATTGTATACTTTTATGCATATGATATATACATATAATATATACAAATTATCTGTGTTCACCATAATATATACATATAATAATCTATATTATCTATGATATATGATATACTTTTATGCAAACACCTCGATTGCTTCATTAGTTTGATATCCCATATGAAATTACATATTTACCCTTAGTCATGATGATAATTACCTGATAATTAAAAAGCCATTTTTTAATTTTTTTTACAACAAAATCACACATGATAAACAATCTATCACAATAACACAAATTTCACCATAAAAATAGTTTAAGTAGATGAGTTTGTCATGTAGTGGACATCTAGTGTGTAAAATGATAGTAAATGAAACATTACCATGGAGTTGTTCTTTAACTTCTCCTGTAGATAAGGTTAAGATTATATCTAAGCTTTTATGATAGATGAAAGTGATAGTAATATTTATGTAACGTCCCGTTTAAAATAGAATAATTAAATAATAGACCCGGAACCCCGAAAAGTAATTTTTATTTTTATTTTATATTATTATAGTCCAAAATCAAATAATAATTAGCGGGGTGTTGATTTCGCGAAGCCAAATGACAAGATTTGAATCTCCGGGGGTTAATATGTAATTTCGGGGTTTATTTTGCATAAGATTTTAGAAGCCAGGGGGTGCTTGGTATCATTTGGATTTAATATGAAAGGATTTTGGATGGTTGGGGTTAAAAGGGTAAATTATGTACCTAAGTTGAAAACAATTTGTCATGGAGGGGCTATATGGTAACTTCTGGGACTAGAATTGTTATGAATCTTGGATAATGGGGGCTGATTTGTAAATTATAGCCTTATAATGAAAAGAAATTGGGAAGGAGGGGCCAAAGGTGTACATTGAAGAAAGGTTGGATATGACCGGGTATTAAACCCGTCACCATGCACCGGCCGCTAACCCTAACCCTAATCTCCAGCCGCCACCTTTGTGGAGACCTCCAGCTGCCTCCGTCATCTTTCTCGTCGTTCCTTGCACCGTCGAGCTCCGCTGGTTGCTGTGACGCTGTTGTTGAAGCCCAAGGCTGCCATGGAACGCCATGGCAGTAGACGACCGGAAGAAACAAGTTGGTGGTCTTCGTCGCGGTTGTTCCGGTGGGGTCGCCCACCTTCTCTCTCTTCTCCATCTCTTTCAGTTAGTATTTTGTTGTTGTCGTCGCTTCGAGCGGCTGTCATGGGTGCTGCCAACTACTCTATCTGCCATATGCCACCGTGAAACGGTGGTTGTGTTCGTGGCCTGCGAGGTATGATGTTGTTTCCGACCGATTGCCGCCTGTCACCTTGATGGTGGCTGAGATGGGTTCGTGTTCTGCAAGAGCTCAAGTATTCGTGTGGGTGGTCGTTTATTGGCCGGAAACCGAGGAAAAGAACCACCATGGCCGCTAGCCATGGTGGCCGCCGCCTGCTGCCATATTCCGTCACCACCAGCCACCGTGGAAGGTGGCTGTGTGCGTGCTTTTCTATGTACTTAGGTGTGTGTGTATTGCTGTTGTATTGTATTAAGAGTTTGTGGGTTGTGTAATCTAGAATCAAAAGTTAGCCACCACCACCATGAGGTGGTGGCTAGCACCTCCGACCACCGCCTTCCGCCACAGTGCGGGTGTGTATGTGTGTGTGTTATTTTGTGTCTGTGTGTTATTTGGATATCGTTGTAAATTGTATTGTACGGCTGGAATAATCAAGAAAACGACCCGTCACCGACGTGAGGTGGTGGTCGCCACCTCACGCTGCCTTTCTGCCGCCACCAGCCGCCCTGTTGGGTGGCGGTATGCTTTGTGTGTGTTAGATTTCGTTTGGGATGCTTGGAAATTTTTCTAGACAAAAATCATAACCACCACCACGAGGTGGTGGCCGCCGCCATGAGCCGCCATTGACCACTACTACCCGAGGTGGTAGTGGGTGGTGCCTGACTTGTTTAACCCTAATGGGCCCAAGGAAGCCCTAATTGACCTAAAAGCCCAACCATGTGACTAATGGGCTAGTATTGGGTTGGAAACCCTAATTAGGGTTTGGAAAACCCTAATGTCATGAAACCCTAATTTTGGGGATTGATCGGGACCCGCACAGGAATTATTTAATAAACTTAAAATATTAATTAAAAATCATTTGCAAATTAACCTAATGCAATATTGGACTTAATGGATTAAGTCCTTAATGGGCTAAGTAAGAAACACTTAACCCTAATCGTCATTTCATGTGAAAACCCTAATTTCACTTGGGCCTTGAGTTGGGCCTTTCTTTTAGGCTTTGGTGATTGGGTTATTGATGGGCCATCCAAAAACAAGCATATGGATTAGAATATTTGGATGGGCTTTAGGATAAGGCCCATTGGAAATGCTTGGGCCCAATTTGGAAAATTGGGCCATAGGTGGGCCATAATTGGGCCTTGATGATTATGAGATATTGGGTCATTGGAGTACAAAGAGTTTGGACTAGAATAAATGGATGAGCCTTAAGGAAAGACCATGTAGAGGTCTGGGCCCAATTTGGAAAATTGGGCCATATGTTGGGCTTTGGAGTGTGAGTTGGGCCTTGGGCTTGAATCAAACTAGGTAGGGGGTAAAGTAGTCCTTTTACCCCAAGCATGGACTTGTGGTTACGTGTAACGCTCGTAGATCCGGGCTAGTCAATTTAGAGATAATAGGGGTCGAAAACGACTTTTCGACAAA